AAATAATTTCAATTTGTAATACTTGTTATAAGTTCAGTATAATTACCATTTGCATGGGAAAAATAACTATAATAGCAATATACTTACAATGATTTAGAAATAATAGCAACATACTTGCTCTTGTTTACAAAAGATAGCAAAAAAAAAAAAAAAAACAATCCCGATATTGCTAACCAGTTATGCAGTATTTTTCCTACCACAGTGACCATTAACGTAAGGTTTTCTGCCATATCGTCCAATAAGATGAGTTATTGGACTTGAGCACATTCCATTTTCATTGCTAAGATGTACAATCTATAAATAACAAGAATGACAAAAATGTATGCAGAGATGAAGAAAGATATCGAAGGATACATACTTGGAAGGATGAGTAGGTTGAGATAAAGTTGTAATTTGAAATAACTGAATTTGAATGGAAACTTGAGGTGGGTTTTAAGAGCATTGATGAAGAAAAGGAGAGGTGGAATTTAATTTTTTTCAATTAAACGTAGACTTTTTTAAACCTCATTGTTTTCATGTTGCTAATTCTAATCATTAGCATTCTAAAAATCAACGCCTTTTTCACCCTAATATTCTTCCACTTTCATATCAACATATTTTCTCACATTCTCTGCTTGCTACACAACAATGAAAGATAAAAACTAATGATCGTGTGTATAAAAAAGCATATTGGAAGAAAAATATTACATGACACATACCTATGTGCCTGACCCAGTCTCTAAGAAGTGAAAAACACTATTGTGTTATACTTCAATGCTTGTTCCATTGTTTCAATTTGATAATGATCAATATTCCAAAAAATAGTTGCACCAACAAGAACACTTACAAGTAATCAAAATAATTATATCAATTAATCAAGAACTTTCATTCAAATCATGGAAAACATACCTTCTGTAATGATTTTGTTAAGAGAAAGATGCTTGAAATCATTTTTTATTAATCTGAAACCTGTGGAAAAAAACGTTCAAAAAACAAATTCAAGAAAAGCATCAGGATCCTATTAAAAGTACCATATCCGTGTGAAGTAGCAACCACAAGAATGAAGCAACGACGTTGAGTGAAGTCAGTTGGAAGTATCAACAACAGGAAAAATAGTAAACAACAAAAACCGACTTACCTGTTTCTATGACACTATGCCAGAATTATAGAGATGAAGAAGTAGATGCGGATCAAAGGAGAAAGACCACAAAAATATACTTGTAATCAACAGGCGAAGATATACATGTAATAATGATTTCATTCCTATTATGATGCATGTATATTTGGTATGAGATAAGGTAATTCAAAAACATTGTTGATTTCATGGAAACTGATTTCCTGATTATAAAGAGATGATATTGAGGCTTCAATATAGTAATGGGCGGGGAAGCGAAAAGATGTTTGTATGAGTGACACGTGGAAAGAAAGAGGGTTATAAGGGGGACACATGGCGATTTAGGAGTCTTTTATTAAGAATAGATTAGATGAAAAGGAAAAAAATAAGCATAATAAGATAATTAATTTAATTATGTAATTTTACATTACATTCAAAATATATTAATTACTTATGGAGTAACAAATAATATTGATGACTTATCATAATTTTGTAAATTAAAATTTCTTAATACTTTTTTTGTAATGTTTTGGACCACGAGATCATAGAGACATTTATACATACATTCACATACATATACAAAATACACACAGTCTCAGAGATATTATACCAAGTATACACAAATATGTCAAATTGCACATAATAGAGACAACTACACATTTTCACATACATATACCACATATATACAAATACATATACATATACCAAATACACAATTGCATCATACTTATATCTAATATACATACATACATAATAGTATCTTACTTACACAAAATACACATGCTTTCACATATAAAATATACACATAGATACACAAAATACACATGCTATCACATACATAAACCATATATACACACATATGCCAAATTTCACATAATATATATGAACACACATATTTTGCAATAAAATCTCGAAATTCATAGTAAACAGAACTGTGGTGGTTGGAATTTAAGAGATGGTGTAGTGGTGGTGGTGGTCCTTGGTGGTGATAGTACCCGACGGTGACCAAGACAAAGAGACACAAAAAATTGTGACCAAGAAAAAGAGACACAAAAAATTGAAATTGACAACTATTTTGCAATTAATCACAATGCGGAGCTGGAAATCGATGTCAGGAGAGAAAGAGAAAGAGAAAGCAGAAGTTGAAGCCTTACTGGCGCCGAAGATGCATAGGTGTCGCCAGCAATTGTTGTTCCCCTTCGTCAGTAATCTCACAATGGGGAGTTCCCCTTCTTCGGAATCTCCTTGTTGGTTGAAGAGGTCATCGATGGATAGAAATGTGGAAGTAAGAAAACGAGAGCATATGGAAGCGAAAGAAGCAGAAAGTGAAAGAGCAGGTGTCATTTTTTTGTTATATGCGATACCTGATACCTTTACTGGCGGCCCTTAACCCTTTAGCGGCAATAAACATTAACAGCGGCAAAAATTATAGAGGGAAGATTACCATGTCTTTTTTTTCACCTTTAGTGGCAACAATTTTGACATTTAGCGGTGATAATTTATCGTCGATATTGAGTTTGTGCAAAAATGAACCATCGTCGTTGGATTAGATTGTCAATCGAACGATTGATATTTACCAGAACATGTTAGTGCGGATCCGGTCTCCAAAACATTACCGGCGACATTTTTAGCGGCGACAATGACTTTTAACGACGACTCACGCTTGATTCGCCGCTAACATTCGTTATGGATGCTAATAGCATCACCGGTAATGGCCTTTTTTATTTTAGTGTCAGATAAAGGGATATTATAATTTCTCATTAAGAATTTAAAAGAGCATCAACAAAAGAAACTACAATAACCACAAAGAATTTACCATACGTAAGAGAAGCTAATTGTTGAAAAACATTGAAAAACTATTGAAATTTGTTTACCTTCTGTACCATTGCTTTCTATCAAAGGACACAGTGCATAAATCGACTGTTCTTGGATGTGGGACAACATTGGATGTGACTAACTTTATCCTTCATCTGTGAGGGAAGGTATTGTTTCAAGTATAGCGGACACGCCGATGGGAGCAAATCGATAAATCTTTCGAAAGATAGGGCTCCCGAAGATGCTTGAATCGGTGAAGTATTTGGCTACTTAGGTTAGTATATCGACCTTATAAGTAAGTGACTATTATCAATCTGTTTTGTTAATTTTAGCATATGATGGTAGTAATCAACTTGATTTCATACATCTATGGGCACACTTTCGCAAAGAAATAAACATTTTCCTATGTAATATTTTAAATGAATACAGGACCATTTTCCCATTGCTTCTTATTTGTACAATCTAGGTATTTAACAAAACATGAATGTCATGTACAATCTAGGGTATTTAACAATAAGTGTAGATGCTCAAACTATAAATATAGGCTTTAAAAATTATAATAACTTACTACATAGTTAATATGAAATATTCCATTCACCAAATTTTTATATTCCTTTTATTATTATGAGCAACAAAAAAAATTGAACTAAAAACTTAATATATCATTAAAATCGTATTTTACCTAAAATCATATAAAAATAGTTTACTGATTAATTCATTAAAAACGTGATTAATAAGTTTCCTAGTATATAATCATAATCATACCTTTAACAACCATGTCACTGGCCATATTCATGGTGGTTCGTACGTCTACCTCTCGGAAAAAGAAAATGTGTACACCTTATATATATATAAAGTTCGTCTTGGACATATCATATGATTGGAAGAAACAAAGATGTCAAAGATTTTATGAAGAAAACTAACTTTTCAGATTATTGCATTTTGTGACTAGGATTTAGCACCAAAATGATAAGTGGGCTCTATGTGCCAACCAATCAGATTTTCAGTGGACGCAAGATCCAAAAAATGATATTCCTACCACATATATTTATGGGAACGTCAAACACCTTGGGAATATAATAAAAAAACTGAAACCTTTTCTAAAACTTGATATCGTAAAAAAAATCAGTTGATAACAAAACACTTTATATTTAAAAAAAAAATGTATGAAACTCCAAGCAATAGATTTATTTGTGGGTTGAATTCGTAATATCAGGTTGATCGTATTTGCATTTATCTTAAAGATACATATAAATTTACAAAATACGAGTAAAAGTATGCCTACATGTACCTCGTGAGTCGTGAGTGTATAAGCAATACCATAAAATTTAACATTTTTATTTAGCATGAATATTACAATAACATAAAATTTAACAATGTTCTATTTATTAAATCAAACTATTATTTAAGTAGAAAGATATTTAAATTGATATAACTTAAAAGTAAATACTAATTTAACCATCAAGGGTCGTAATTATATTATTTCAGGAGAAGTTTCTGAATGTGTTTTATGTCATTAATAACCAATTTCAACCACTAATAGAAGAATAAAACAACCATCCGATTTTTTTTTCTGAATGTTTTATTTAAAATTATATATGGACCATAATATAAAAGCATATATAAAACCCCACAAATTCTTTTAAAAAAAAAGAAAAAAAAAAGTGGTTCATATATGCAAGCTGAAAAGTCTCCAGAACCTTCTTTAAGTTCATGCGGCTGAAACCATGGGCGTATGTATTTACCATTTTAAAAAGCAACTTTCCGAAAGGAGAAAGCCCAACACTCATCTGAAGATTTTATTTTCTGTGCAACTGTCGCTCATCAATCTCCTTTCATGTCATCTGCTTCTACCTGAACCATCCTTAAAAACCAAAATCTACAAAAAGTTTGATTTCCTCTCTCTTTTTATCATGCAGTTTATGTGTTTGACCTTTTGTCTCAACCAATTTTCTCGATTTATTTCTCTTGTTCTTCGTTGAAAGTATCATCTCGAGTTGTGCTGGTTTTAATTTTCAGGTTTTGGGTTTTAGGGTTACTGCGACATTTGATGATTCCATTTGAGATTTGATTGAAAAGACTCTTATTCACCATGGAACCTAATTTCTACCCAGTTGTAAAGGAAGAATACCCTTCTAACAAGCAATCTGTGATTATAAATATGCCGCAACCAATGGAGGGTTTACACGATGCCGGACCTCCACCTTTCTTGACAAAAATATACGACATGGTGGATGATCGAAGTATGGATCACATTGTTTCTTGGAGTAGAGGAGGTCAAAGCTTTGTTGTATGGGACCCACATGCTTTCTCTGTTAATCTCCTTCCAAGATACTTCAAGCACAACAATTTCTCCAGTTTTGTTAGACAGCTCAATACTTATGTAAGTTTCATCTTTCTTTCTTTCTTTATTATACGACAGATATGTATATTTACTCATTGATATGTTTTTCGGGTAAGTGTTTGATACATATATCTATGTCATATGCTTTATTTTAAGAAAGTTTATGATCCCTAATGTGGCTGAACTTTGAAGCTTGTTAGTTTCGGAAATTTTGGTTTTTGAATGCAGGGTTTTAGAAAGATAGATCCTGATGTATGGGAGTTTGCGAATGAAGGATTTTTGAGGGGGAATAGGGAGAATTTGAAGAACATTAAAAGAAGAAAGACGCATTCACAACAAGCTACAAATCAACCTTGTGTGGAAATTGGAAATTTTGGAATGGATGATGAAATCAAACATCTGAGACGTGACAAACAGATTTTAATGATGGAATTAGTGAGGCTGAAACAACAACAGCAAAATACCAGGGCCCACCTTCAAGCCATGGAAATGAGATTACAAGGAACAGAAAAGAAACAGCAAAAGATGATGAGTTTTTTAGCAAAAGCAATGCAAAATCCCGATTTTGTCCAGAAATTGGTGCACCATGGGAAAAGGAAAGGTGTTGAAGAATGTAGTATTATGAACAAAAAGAGACAAATGATTGACCATGGTGAAGGGTCAAAGGTAATTAAAGATGAACCAGAAGAGTGGGAAATGTCTGAATTAGATGCACTTGCTTTAGAAATGCAGGGAATTTGTAGATCCAAAAGTAATATTAATCAAGAGGAAGTAACTAATTATGATCTTGATGATAAAGATCTTGATGAAGAATTCTGGGAAGAATTGTTTACTGAACAATTTGGTATGATCGAAAATGAAGGTTTATAAAGTAGAGAGCTGTTTCTACATCGCCATTGGTTCATAATCCAATCACGTTCTTCATCTTCCATTGTTCTTAAAAAAACGTTTATTCTTGATCTTTGTAGCTAGGTACTGATGATGATGATGATGATGATGATGATGATGATGAAGATGTTGGACAAATTTCATGCTGATTACTAGAAGTTGGTTGGTTGACTTCTATCTGATTTTGTATAAAAGAGTGTATCTAATAGACTGTTTTATATATCATCTTAATTCAAGTTTTCTTTCCCTTTACAGGATACAGAATATGAAAAGCACTAGCCCTTCATCACAATTTTAACTTTCTCATCTTCTAAATTGATATTTTTTTTGGGTTAATCTCGTTTTTTTTAGATCTGATCCTCTCATGTGAATCTTTATCTTAATTATCAGAATGGAAGCGTTTTCTTGGCCAGATTCAAGTGCTTGTTCAAGGTTATGATTTGGTCTTAATTTCTTGAACTCCCAATATTAATTACTAGAAATTGAACTTTAATTGATTTAATATCTGGAAATTATATGATGATTCGTTCTTTGGTAGATTGCCTTGAAGATACCACATCAGAAGATTCTTTGGCTGCTATTTGGAAATCGGCTAAAATATACTAGTTAGGTGACTCATGATGGCTACTTAATGTTACACCTGGTATTATTATTTGGTTATTTATATAAAATAAGATGATAATGATTGTGGGACCCGTATGTGTATACATTATTGTGCAAGATATTTTCAATTTTAAACAGGAATTACGTAAAATAATTGACACGAGAAATAATCAAAGAGCCATACACTCTTTAATATGAGCCTATGAGTTATAAGTTGTTGTTTCGTATTTCAGAAATGTTGCTCCATGAAGATGCATGTTATCGTGATCATATTGTTACAATCAACTATTTAATCGGGTTTTTTTAATTGTAAACTGTTATAGAAATGTGAAAAAAAATAAAATAAATAAACAGATTAATGCTGGGATATGATTGGATGTATGGATAGGAAGCAAGTTGGTTCTTTTAATGAGTCACTTTCATTAGGTGATGCTTGTGAATATGTCAAGTTGATGTAGTTAAATGCCTTGGAAAATTGACTTTTTATGCAATTAATGTAAGGGTCCTTTACACATGTTAAAGTTGCACTTTAATAAGTCTCATGGGGTGTGAGTGTGATTTGACTACAACTCTTTGTACTTGAAAATATTAGGAACTATACTATAATAGATAAATTGCTTGAGTTTTTTAGGTTCTTTTGGTAATTATGAGATCAATATCATGTACATACAGATTTAAACAAGATTTGACCTAATAAGTAAAGAACAAATTTAGTAAGATAGCAACCAAATTTGTCATTTGTACCAAATAGGAGACAGTTTATTTTTTACTTACAACTAGCAATCAACTTGCATTTTTCTTTCCGATTTAGGCAATATAAAAACTAGAAACACGATAATTTTGATTTTCGAATGTGACAGATCATGTTGCCATGTAAGCTTCCACATCATCTGTCATGTATACATTTATGTTGAAGTGGAATTTTCTATAACTTCAGCAACTTAAAAAAATTATTTTTGTTTGAACCTTTTTAGTTTTAATTTATGTTCATTTGTTATAACCGTTTCAACTCAACTCAAAAGGAATGACACATAAGCCCTTCTATTTCCACTAAATTACATTAAAAGTCATCCAACCCATACAAGAAAGCAAGGGTACATCGGTCCATGGTCGTACATAAAGTATTTTTTGAGTTTATTGAAAGAACAATTTCAATTTCAATTTCAATTTCAGTTTCAGTTTATTAACACACTCTCCACAATACGCAAGCTAAACACACCCCTCACATAATTACTACGCACACATAAGTCTTTTTTTTTAACAACTAAATATCCATGTATTCAAAGTTCAAACTAGCAATAAGAAAACAGTTACACAACATTAACTGGGTTTTTTTTTAACCAATAAACCCAATTAGTTGAAGTTTTTCAGTTTCAACTATAAAAAAAAAAAAAAAAAAAAAAAAAAAAAAAAAAAAAAAAAAAACTGTAGTAATGTCTATTATGATATCATTTCTTTGTTTGGTGATGTGAATTTTAAAACTCCTAAATAACTCACCACTTAGTAAACACAATCAATTCAGTCACCTATTTTATGTTGGATCAATTACTAATCTAGCCAAATTAAAGAGGTGATTAATAATTTTTAGCCAAAAATTAGGATTTATCCCAAACTAGCCCACGAAACCGTAGATGCTTAAAATGGTCTACTGTTTCGCTCATTTACCTACTGTTTTGATTTTAGTATATAAATATTTTTTTTTTCATTTTTCACTACGAAACCGTAGATGAAAAAATGGTCTACTGTTTCCTCTGAGAAGTCTACTGTTTTCCAAATAGTAGATTAAAAATGATCTACTGTTTCGTCCGAAACCTACGGTTTTTTTTAAATGAAAATAAAACACTAACTTTTACTGTAAAAGAGATTTTTCTTTTAATATATAGTAGATATGATATAGTAGTCAAAAAGTTAGTATTTTTTCATTTAGAAAAAAAAAAAACAAAACCAAAACCAAAACCAAAACCGTAGGTTTTTAGACGAAACAGTAGATCATTTTTAATCTACTATTTGGGAAACAGTAGACTTCTCAGAGGAAATAGCGGACCATTTTTCCGTCTACGGTTTCGTAGTGAAAAATGAAAAAAAATCTTTATATACTAAAATCAAAACAGTAAGTAAATGGGCGAAATAGTAGACTATTTTAACCACCTACGGTTTTATGGGCTAGTTTGGAACAAATCCTAATTTTTGGCTAAAAAGTAAGAAGTCATTAATGAATTTGGTTAGATTAGTAATTTTCCCTTTTATTAGTAATTTTCCCTTTTATTTTTAGCGTAAATTACACGAATGGTCTCTATGGTTTGGGGGAATTTGTGCGTTTGGTCCCTAATTTATTTTTTTAATTCGAAAAGTCCCTAATGTTTGTTTTTGTTACACGATTGGTCCCTAATGTTTGTTTTTGTTACACATTTGGTCTCTGTCTTACCTAAAAAGACTATTATTTAACTAAGAAAAAATGGTGGGGTAGGTAAGGTAAGATGAATAGGTAGGGTTGGATGTGTGTTTATTTAAATAAATTAAAAAATCAATGGCAAAATAGTTTTTTTAGGTAAAATAGAGACCAAACACGTAACAAAAACAAACAATAGGGACCTTCCGAGTAAAACAAATAATTTAGGGAGCAAACACGCAAATTACCCTAAACCATAGGGACCATTCGTGTAATTTACTCTTATTTTTAAGAAAAAGTAGAGTTGGACGTCTATTCCAAAGGCCTCACCACAAATAAAAAAACATTAAGGGCCCGTCTGATATATAGTTGATTGGGTCCGGTCAGCACTTTTGGCTGACTCAGTCTGGTCAGCCCGTTTGATAAAGGGATAACAACGCCTGACCTGGTCCAATTCTTTGATTCGGTCATGGATAATAGTCTGATTCGGTCCGGAGTAAAAAACGACACTGACTGGAAAATTACCCCATTTTACCCTGATACTTTGAAAGCTCGATCGTGAACGATAAACCCCATCGTTTCTCCCTCTCCCACTTTTGTCTTCAATGGAGTTTGCTCCTCCCCTGTACCATCGATGACGTCTTTTGCACTATGCTTCTTCCTGTCAGGGACTTGTTCCATCATCACCATCCTTCTTCTCTTTAATCGGTTCATGAAACCGTTTTTGAAATTGATTCATGAAATAGTTTATGAAATTTATTGTTATCGAGCTATCTCCTTTAATCACAGTTCTCCATTTCCTTTTCATATTCTTCCTTGAAAATCGATTCCTGAAATTAATGCTTTTATTTAATGGAGTGTTGGCTGGGAAGATTTCAGATTTTTGATGTTCTTACATCTCGTTTTCATGTTCTTCCATGCTCTTCTGATATGTATGTTATATATCAAGTGATGCAATTTGTTTTCCAATGATGCTAATAGAGAAACTTTTGAGGCTAGTAATATCAAGGTATGTGGATAATAATTATTCTATTCTGATATCCTTGTGTCTGTATTCTCTTGTAATAACTATTTTTTACGATTTCAGAATAAAGGAAAGTACATATGATGATTTCTGATTTAGTGAAACTGTGATAGTCTGTAGACGCATGATTCATGAACCTTTTCTGGTGATTGTATTTATAAGTCTTTCTATGTCATGGATAGATAGCAATTGATTCTAAATTTCTAATTGTATGGATAATTTCTGATTGAGATTTCTTAAACAATTGCTCTAATAAAAGGTTCCAATTACATCTTGTCCATCTTATATTTATGCTTAAATTTAAATAATTTGGTGTCTTGGTGTTTCCTAGTTCATACACTGTAGCACCTAGTTCCCGGTATGTAAATATTATTTGAGTATTTCCCATTTTAGCCTTGGACTCGGCGAGTCATAGGTCCGACTCGTCGAGTAGGGACGAGACTCAGGACACGTTTAAGTTGGCGACTCGGCGAGTCCATATCCTGGACTCGGCGAGTCACCGCTGCTGGATGAAACCCTAAATTTCAAGGGTTTGCAACCTATTTAAACCCTCATTTCCGCCCCAAACTCGCCCCCATTCACCCCCAGAGCTCCCAACATCGTTTATACCCTTATTTCCTTGAGAGATTGAAGTGTTTTGGTGTGTTCTTGAAGATTTTGAGGAGAAAGAAGAGTAGATCAAGAAGAGGAGAAGGAGGCCAGGCATCTTTGTGTCATCTCAACGTTTTCCTTGAGGTATAACTCGTTTTCCATCTGTTTTCAAGCTTGTAGTCTCTTTTAGCTTCATAGAAGTCCTTCTTGAGCTTTTCCCCAAGCTTGTTTGTGCTTTGTGGGTTGTAATAAGTTGTTAGCCTTTAGATCTAGGCATGATTTAGTCCCTGGAGCTCGGATATAATGCCTTTATGGGGTCATATTGCATGAAAGCCCTAGATCTACCTCTTTTGGTGCACTTTGAGCCCTAAAATCCATATTGGTGAATATCTACACGTAAAGTTGGAAACTTTACGTGTGATTTGTGTCCTAGAAGCCCAGATCTGTGAATGGCATGGACTGGAATCGAGCAAATCGGTGTATT